AGTCTGACCTGCTCGGCTGCAGGGGGTTGGCCTAACCCGAGGGCGCAGGGAATAAGGCATTACTGTCTCATTCCTGATGCGGCTGCGCACAGCAGGTGCCTTTTGAGCAGCACCGGGCTCTTTAGTTTTAAAAGTATTTCGACCATATCGGATAATGCGCCGGCGGTCACGGTCAACCGTTGGGCGATCGGAGTGTGCGGTTTCTGGGGCCGACCTTTTCTAACCCGTCCTTCCTCGAGGGAAGGCAGCATCGCTGCTTCCATAAATATGGACATGCCGGTCGCATGGGGGAAACACCTTACTGCCTTCACACTCCTTTCGCAGAGGATAGTACGACTTTACCCCCAGACCGCCGGGTAGTACGATTACTCGTAGTACGGGGTCTCACTGCTCTTGGTCTGGCTGCTCCCCTTTGGCCTTCCCGGCATGGTTTCACCTTGTGGAATGACGTTCCAGCTAGTGTAGCCCGCGGGATAATTGCAGCCCTCAACCTCGACCACCACTCCAAGGTGGCATCTTCAGGTCGGGATAAATGTCTAGCATGAACCATGTAACCACTGGTGCCATCATTTCAAAACCACAACGTGTGTTTATGCACTTTGGAGTTTCGAATATCATTGTCTCTGATAACGGCAGTGCATTCAAGCCCGTTGAATTTTCGGCTTTCTGTCAAGAAAATGACATACGACACGTGCGACCACCACCGTTCCATCCACAATTATATGGCCAAGTTGAAAGATTTATGGACACTTTCAAACGAGCACTCCTAAAACTCAGAGGGGAGGGGACTACACCTTAAATCATCGAGACATTTCTGCTGAGCTACAGAGTGACACCAAATGTTAACGCTCCACATACTGAGTCCCCAGCGGATGTACTTGTGAGCCGGGAGACCAGTTTACGTCATCCATTCAACACCACATTCGCCAACCGATAGAAACACAAATATGGAAGTTCAGTTCAACCGATATCACGGTGCTGCAACGTATACCTGGCCAATCTGTGATAAAAAAAGACTATCGTGGTGGTGTGGAAAAGTGGACACAAGGTATAATTGTGCGCCCTGCTGGAAAAGTTGTCTATGAGGTAAGCGTGGGCTCTTTTATTTGGGTCCGCCATGTCAATCAGCTATGCTCTTCCTGTCTTCCAGCGACAGTTACATCCGATCCTGTTTCCCCACTTGAGATTCTTTCTCGACACATTTAAATTAGCTCAATAGCCTGAATCTCCCGAGCCGATGAGCAAATCAGGGGTTTCCAAAAGTTTCGTACCTAGATGGGCTGACTTAATACAAAGGCCCGTCATACCAATGCAACTATACCCACAACAGCAGTCCTATGATCGAGTACTTCAACGAGGGGGTGTTAGGAGGACTGCACTCAAACGAACAAATCCACGTTGCTAACACTTTGCCTTTTATACTGAAACCTTTTTTTCCATATTTCGGCCTTTCATTGACATCCTATTGAACTGTTAGCTCTTTTTATATTCTAGTTCAGTTGAATTCCATATTACGGAATGATCCACTTGTTTCGGGTACAACTTCCTTAAAGTTGTTTGTCTTCTCCATTCTGGTGTACTGACCAGTCTGACTGATACATCGTCAGAGGCCATAGCACTCTCAAATCCCAACTTTCGTTTGAGCATCTTGTTTTGGGGGTGTTCCAGAAAACGATTGTGGTTTCTTCAAAGTCAGTAAAGAATTATCAGTGTTCCTAGAAGCAATCGTAATACTCACTTGTTTATCGCATTCTGTTACTGGCCTCAGGCATGTCATTTCCAATCTAACTGACTGCTTTGTCCACCTCCGCGTAATTCAACGCGCATTTCCGAACTTTGCTCCAATCAGGGAGATCGGACCCTGTTTCCGATGTTTTTACCTCACTCCAGTCTGTCTTTTTTACACTAAATAACGCCGCTATCTGTTCGCTTTCCTCACCTTGGTCAAGTACTCCCCCCGCATCTCGGCGTTGCTTCGTTCCAATAATTTTATGCCGAACAACGCGGCTTTCAAAAGGCTGTAATCTCGTTTACTTCCGTGCACTTCTGTTTGTTTATTGGCCCCATTAGTACGCTTTCCGAACTGACTAATTAATTATCCTCAATAAGTGGTGTGATTGGCCAAGCATTGCGACTTTGGGCAAGTCGGTCGCTCTCATATTCTTATCGAGTGGGCTCCGTCCTGCGTGACCGTCTTCACGTTCCACCTACAGCGAAGGAAGTGTTAGTCGGTCAACTTGATCTATTCTCTTGTCTGTAAGCATTAACTCATTGTTTCTGTCCCGTCAGTCCACCAAGGCTGCCATTCACTGAAAGGTGTTCATTTCAGCCCACTGTGACCGAATATTTGCTCACTCAATCCACTGCCCCAATTTATGTGCCTGTTAGCACCCCCACTTTTTGGAAGAGTGCAAGTACACTTTTCTCATCCCACTTCCTTCTTCAGTTCTCTGTTATTTGTTCGCCCGCTGAGCTCTGATCTTATGACAGTGCGATTTAATTTGACTTCTTAGTCGAGGCCACTAAGCTGATAGGGCAGGCAGCTGATGTGCTGCCGAAGTGTACTGTTGGTATGCCGAAGCTAAGGTTAGGAATTGCAAATAGTGCTTAAAAACGTACAGTGTTGAACATGTCTCCAACTCTAGATGTAGCCATGTAATCGTGGAGCAAGTAGAAGGAACAATCGCTCGTGACTTCGTTTTCTGCTGTCAAGAGAGGTTGCATTCCACAAAAATGGTTGTCAAAGTCACTTCGGAACACATGAAGACTAGGGGCCAAGTCATGTTTCTTGTGGTGGACACTGGATTGCCGCAAACAAATCTATGGTAAGGTCAACTCGATCAGTTGGGCGCGAGGTAGCCCAGTGGTTACTCTCCCTTGTTAATTTGTTTTAGTGGTGGACTTCACAAACCACGTGGAGACCTGGTTTTACTTAGAGCCTTTGGCTGTACTCAACTAGGTCTCCAGGTCTTGCCAATCAGACTGTCGGGTCGTTGTAGAATTTGTGGTTAAAGAAACTTGGGTCCAACAGTCAACAAAACCTAGCTTGCGGATATCCGCTGCTCTTAGAAGCATTATTTTCAGGTGTAGTTCACTATCCCATGTATTACTGCGCTGACGACCTTCACTGCTGCCCTCTGGTCAGCCAAATGGCAAGGCACTTTTGGAACTCAGGTCGTCATTTGACCGTACATAGTTTTGTGGCGAGACTTGCTAAAAACCGGCCATGTTGTTTTTGAAACTACAACAGCTATCTTCTAGTTTAGTCAAGACGAGTGGGGAAATAAGGCACAAGACCGGTCTTTTTTTCGCTGTCTTTTGGCTCTCGTCGAATCTTTATCAAGCTAATTACACTGCTTCGATTACACCGGGACATCTGATTTGCTGCTTCAAAGACACTTAATGAGACACCGGAAACAATTAGGTATAACTCTGAGTAATGAGTCGTCAGTGGTAACGGTCACATATTGGGAAACACCCTAGTAAATAGCTGGCATTTCAAAAGCTTCCTTCGTGTGAATGGACACTGTGTTTGAGCACAGTCAGTTCATAGTATTCTACATCTTGTTGGCTCATTAAATTAGAAACATCAATCAGCAATGGAAGGTACCCAAGTTCAGGTGTCTACTTATGGACGAGTATATATACCGTATATGGATACGGTCGTGCATGTGTCCTTCAAATGATGTGCCACTCTTTCTTCGATAGCGCGTTTTCGGCTTCGCTATTATCCACTGTGTTGAAAATGTGGCTGAATTCCCCGCTTTTTGGTTTCTTTTTTGGCGGGTGTCGCCTCCATCTCTTCCTTTTGACCGCTCCGCTTGAGCAATTTTCTATAGTACCGACGTCCTTATTGTCCTATTGGCTCGCCTGGAAAGTAACTTGTTTTTGTATGTTTTAGAACTGGGCATTTTAGTCAGTTTTGTTATCACTTGATATGTGCCACTCCAGGATATCTATCTATAATTTGCAATGATATCCCTGAGAATCCGTAAAGATGTTACGGTGTGTTGTGGCTTGGTAAAGAAGTTCTGGTTTCCTCCGCTCAAGACACAACAGCCCTTCCAAGTGGCTTGACCCAAACCTACATTTTGGCTTCCGTGGGCGCTAATCACTTCCCGTTCAAGTGTATTTGTATCTCAAAGTAAATCGTGACGCTCATAGTGGCGGCACTTTACTTTTTCTGAACCTTGGCTGCTCTGCGCCTTTAAACAAGTCCACTCTGCAGTTATTTCTAAAATCTTCTACGGATCACGTTCTTGGCACCAGTTGGCTAGTTTAGTCGACTACAGTGTGTCACCCACCGGTCTGTGTTGGGAAATGCTTGCAGTCGCACATTCTCAGCCATTTGGAGTTGTGGACTAGAAATAAGTTCTAGATGGAGCTGAAAATTGACCAGCTTCTCCATATTGACTCAACTTTTAGGGATGCTGAACCTCTCTGGACACCTTATTCTCTGTCCACTAGGATGTTCCCGCCCTTCAATTGGCATGGTAGTTGGACACCTAAGGGTTGTTACAGCTGAACAACTTTTATCTTTTGCCTAATAATCTCAGACATGATATTTCAACAGACCACCAAAAATGCAAACGTATTCTTCTTTTTCTGCTTAAGCCGACCACTTCAGTTATGTTTGTATCCCATTTTACTTCATCCTTTGGCCGTTAAAAAATCCCTCTTTGTTCCCAGACGATTGCTTCATGATAGTAACCTATTCAGGGAACTCGTCAAAACCGCAGCCTCTTTGGTACCTCCACACCTTCAGAATAAGTTTCAATCTACAATAGCATCTGACATGGATCAACGACTGTCAATGTTTTCTGCAGACTCCGCGACCGCTTATTGGGCTCTTGGTGGAAACGCACCCGTGATGGCTGTGCGTTTGGCACGAGAAGGTGCAGAAGTATCCCTGGCAGCTAGACTTTCTCCTATGGAACTGGAGCAGTTACCCAGGGGGATAACGCGTAAGTACTTCATCTAACTACATCATAAACCAAAGGCGTCAGAATCAATACTACGACTGCTTACTTTGAGACAGTCTCTGTATTTCTCAGCAGCTGAAATTGCACTGTGTAACTTAGTCCTCTCGTCCCATCCAGCGCTTGCTGTTGGTTATTCGGGCGGCTTGGAGGGTAATATCACACTGGTCATGAGAGCCTACAGGTGGTCCTGGTTCTAGTAGTCCAATACGCACCCAGGCGAATAAAGGGGCCTAATCAGTAGGTCCAAGTGTAGATGTGCGGAGCTGCTCTCAGATTAGTTTTGCGTATATAGACTACATGGCCTCGGAGTTCGATTGCACCGGGTAGTCTTGGTAGTATGCCCAGGCGTACCAACCACGACCACCGCCCAGCGCAAAATTTGGATTTCTCAGGAGCTTATCGGCATACTGAGATAGCTTTTCTGACCACAGTAATATTCAGAATCCCAGTACGCGGAATATCAACAAAGTGTATATAATGGTTAACCTATCGTCCTCTGAGTTTCAGCTGACATCGTTATTTCCGTCTTGGTCTCCGTCCTTGTCGTTTTTTTGGGAATTCAACGGTATTTAGCTGCACATCCTCATTACGGGTATACTTTTTGCTATTGGGAAAGCTACCTTAATAAGTATATGCTCTGGCGAAAAGGATCAGGGACCTACCTGTTGTCTCTCAGGTTGGATTTGGACTGATGCAACCCGTTGGCACCATTCACAGCACCGAGCGTCTTACTGACCCTTCAGAGCCGCCGCCTGGCGGTCACTGCTCTAAATAAATCCGTCAGAGACATTCACCCATGTTCGTTAAAAGACACACCCTTTTACTTAGTTGCTTTAGTCACCTCGATAACAGTCAATGGCTTGGGACAAACGAACTGCCCTTCTTTGATTTCAGCTGTTTGCTTGCTGATACAATGCATTGTAGCGTTACGCATGAACATTGGCCATGTCGATCCCTCCTTACTTGTTCGAGTTGTACGGTTGTCACTTCTTTTTTGTCAATGAATGTGATACTGTGACACTGCTCTCCTTATATATCCACCTATTCGGAGAGTATACTGTGCCCTACACACCAAACGAAATGGGGAAAGGCCACTGCTCGCGTCTAGTTATGTGTACTGACTTTCAAACATAGACTCCATCACCCCAAGAAGGTCTTCCTAATTACTCTTTTCTCAATAATCGCCGGACCTCAGTTCGTACTCCAGAATTTCATATTCCAAGCCATCATAATAGAATCCAGTGCGGTGCCCTTTTAATTAATCGCTTGATTTCTGTTTGCTTTCACTTTTCCTAAAGCCTTGCACGTTGCCTTTAAGTGTACGGCGCTCGAGCATTTCGTTCTGTTTTGGAAACACCCAGTTGAGCAAAACACGTGTGCGGTTGTGATCGGTCTCGCATGCCAAACACTTTAAATTCCTATCGCTATGATTAGCATGTTATCTATCAGCTGACTAAAGCACCTGATCGTGGATGCAACCTAGGTGGCTTAACACGGACATCAGAACAACCGAACCTGGGTGTGGCATTTAAATAGCTCGAATCCGGTGGACGAGTTTCACGACGGTTTTTGTTAATCGATGTCGGAAACCAGAGCTGGTCAGGAAACATTTCCGTCCTTCGGAGATAAATGTCTCGTTCTATCCCCGATATTTTTGGAATTTCAATATTGCCTGCTAGTTAGCGAGATTGTTCGCGCCAGTCTAAGAGTGGTAGGAGCCGATAACCGTGTTGTGGCGAATGACGATATAACGCACCGTAGGGACCGCTGAGTAGGGTGATGATGGGGCTAGAGTTGCGCAAAGTTTGTCGCATCTAGACACATATGCAGACTGGGCGTGACATTATCAATGTCCTACTTATCTAAAGTAGGATATTTATTCGTTCAGTGTGACTACGTTACCTGACGTGAACGAGCCGGTCAGATCAACTAGCCAAGTGTAATATCGAAAATCCAACGTCGCGTTTAGTACAACGGTACCTACCTAGACTGCCTCGCCTGTCTGTCTAGCTTCCTGAGAATCTCAGTACACCATAGATGAGACAAATGATCACAAATCACGATAAGAGTAATATGATATGAGTCAGCTGACTGGACCGCCATGATCAGTTTGTTCCCGTGAGAGCATGTACCCTAACCCTCGTTGAGGTACTCAAACATCATACCGCGTCCAGATGAGTGATGTATCCTTTGTGATGCAGGTTAGCCCATTTTATTGGTTTACTGAGTAATCGAATCTAGGGACTGATTTCTGGCTATGCCGGGTGTGATACGCATTTGGCTGATTATGCGCGCTGGTGTAGTGATCAAGTTGAATGATGTTTCGCCACGATCACTTGACGGTATCGGAGACATGTACACGGGTTGATGTTGTTGTTGCGACCTTATCGTGATTGTCAGTTTGGCTTATCATATGCTTACTGTTGTTTTCGTAATCCAGTTGGTCAATTACTCGAACCGGCGGATTCACGGAAGAGTTGAATTGTTGCACCTCTAGTCACCGTTATCGCACAACGTTGACATCTTCAGCTGCTCGCACAAAAGCACTATACCATTGTTAGACCAGTCTGTCTACTGGAGCTTGGTGCAGCCTAGAGTGGACAGTCCCGATGTTCTCGCGAAAGACGATATTTTCATCTGCAGCCTAGAACAGTCCCGATGTTCTCGCGAAAGACGATATTTTCATCTGGATGGGGAAAGCCAGAGCAGCTTTTGTGAACCTGCGTTACTTACCTCGCAGGCGTGACATCAGCTTCTCTGTCAAGGGTCGA